AAGGCGGGACAAACCCTTCTCGAGATTGTCGGGGCCGGTGCCACGTGGACGGACGTCACTCCGTCGCTGAAGGGCGTGGGATTTCAAACAACGCCCGCCTACTATACCCTTAACATTAAGGGGACGTGGCTTAAAACGAGTACACTGAACGTGTCAGACGGGAAGCCTGTGACGAATCTGATTGCGGCGATGATGCGGTACGCGGACACTTACTATGGGCAATTCGCGACGGCAGCTTTCAAGGCAGGAGCAGCGAGGGGGCAGTTCCAGCTGGTGCCTATTCGATCGACGCCGGACGGGGGCGCGAATCCCAAACTGGTCGAAGTCTCGTGCGTCTTACCCCAGCCGAAACAGGCAGCGGTTCTCGGCGATCTGATTGGTGAGAGGCTTTCGGCGATCGCTGCTTGCTGTGACGTGCCACTCGATTTTATTCACCTCCTCCCCCCTTTGTTACTAGTATAGCTTACTATGCCGCTCTCCCCTCTCCCCGCTCTCCTCTCCCCTTCCCCCCGCGTCACTCCGCCGCTCCTCTCCCTTTCTCTCCGCGCAGGGATTCTCGCCGCGCCGCTGATGGGAGCCGAAACGGTTGGGTCCAAGGGCGACCTTTCAGCCAACGGCCGAATCTGCCAGGCCGTCTACGAGTAAGCTGGCTTGGCAACGCTTCCATTATCCACGCACACTCCGTCCATTTCCATGCGCACTCCTTCCGTATCCATGCGCACTCCTTCCATTTCCATGCGCACTTCTTCCGTATCCATGCGCAATGCTTTCATATTCCTCGCTAACCCTTCCATATCCCTCAGCACTCCTTCTTTATCCCTCAGCACTCCTTCCATATCCCTCAGCCATTTCTTCCATATCCCTTACGAATCCTCCCTTCTTCCGCTCGCTCGCTTGCTTGCGCCATTTTTGACTGAATCCGTCAGGCTAGACGGCGACTACAACGTCTTCTACCATTCTCTCGTCTCCTCCAAAAATCTGGGCGCGCCGACCTCCGCCTACATTGGGCAAGGCTTGGCGGGGAAAGGGGGCTCCAAGGTTCTCGATGTTGTCGGGGCCAATGCCACGTGGCAAAATATCACTCCTGCGAAAGCTCCGTTCTATTCATATACGATCAACGGGACGTGGCTTAAAACGAATACGCTGAGCGCGTCAAACGGGCAGACGGTTCGGAGCGTGATCGATGCGATCGTGTTGGCTCCAAACAGTTCCTACTACGAAGGAATCACGACGCGGGCTTTCTCGAAGCGCGCTGCGAGGGGGCAGATCATAGTGAAGCTGCCCGACGCTGGTCCTAATAACAATAACGGAGTGGCGGATGGAGGAAACAAGACGACAGAGACATTGGTTGGTATGTTCCCTTTCGCTCACCTACACTCACATTTTGAGAATTCCCAATCAAGCATTTTGTTCACCTACACTACACTTCTCAAACTTCTGTAGATTAGCCATTCTCTCACTCACACTTTCCTATTGAGCATCCTCGTGATAAGCCTGTTGCGCACCTGCATTTCTCAGTTGCTCAACAAACAAACCCGTTTCGCTACTGCCTCACGAATTCTCCGCAGCACAAACTCTTGCGTGGACTCTCATCCCGCATGCATTTCGTTCTCATTTCATGTATTCTCTCACCACAACTCTCGTATAATCCTGTCTGAACCTTCACTCCAGCCCCTGCCCTCCCCCTCGCTCCTGCCTCTTCCATTCTCTCGCCCCATTTTCACCACCATCCTTCCACTCTCTCACAAACTCCCCCCCACCATTCCATCCGCCCCTTCCATTCTCTCTTCTACTCCCCACTCTCGCCTTCCCCTGGGCCATCACCCTTACGTTCCTTCAGGGGTGGTGGAGGCGCATCTGAACGGCTCTAATGCTGGCCTCGCTGCTGCCACCAACTCCTCAGGCTCCCTTTCTCTTGCTGTCTTCCAGTAAGCCTCTCCTCCATTCGCTTCTCTCTCCTCCTCAATCTTCTTCTCTCGCTTGACCCCTCGCTCTTTCTCCCTCCCATCGTTTCTCCCCTTGCTCCCTCGCCCTCCTCCCCTCACTCTATCCTCCCCTCTCTTCTCCCCTCGCTCCCTTGTTCCCCCTTTCTTCTCCCCCCACTCTACACACTCCTACTTTCTAACCTCAGTTCCTCACCTCCCCCTCCCTCCTTCCCTCAGTCTCTCTCCTTCCCCTATTTCTCCCCTCAGTATCTCTATTCTCCTCTGCCCTCTCCCCTCATTCTCTCACCCTCCCCCGCCGCTCCCCATTCTACCCTCACTTTCTTCCAGTCTCATACTGCGAATTGTGGCCCCTCCATACGCACCTGCCCATCCTCGGCCCAATGTCTGTCCCTCCTTGTCCCTCCTTGTCCCTCCTCGCCCCTCCTTGCCTCTCCTTGCCCCTCCTCGTCCTCCTTGCCCCTCCTCGCCCCTCCTTGCCTCTCCTTGCCCCTCCTCGTCCTCCTTGCCCCTCCTCGCCCCTCCCTTGCCACCCTCCCCCTCAGCAACACCACGACCAACAACGCAACGACGACATTCTTTACAGCGACGCTGTGACTCTAACCAACTCTGGAGAGCCCACCTCCCATCCCTCCCTATCCCTCCCTATCCCTCCCTATCCCTCCCTTCTTGCCACCCTCCCCCCCACAGCAACGCCACAAGTAACGACTACAGCATTCTTTACAGCATCACCGTGACTCTCACCAACCCTGGAAGCCCACCCGAGTTGCCATCATGAAAGGCGCTGACGTGGCACTCACCGTGGCCACCAGCAGCACCACGTGGACCAATCGCACACTCACACCGTCCGCTCCAGATCCAGATCCCACTAACGAGATTTGCAAGACCATACCCGCCGAAGCCTGCTTTAAACTCAAAGCCCAGTATAAAATCTACTAAGCCCAGCACCCTCCTCCCCCACCTCCCCCTTTCCCCAGCTACACCTACGAAACCGCTGGCACTTGGCTAAGCGCCAGTACTTTGAAGGCGGATAATGGGCAGACGTACAGAAGCTTGTCACGCAACTCGCGACATCGACTGATATACGCCATTCCTTTCTCCCCTGGTTTCATTTCAACCGTTGTCAGTTGCGCCATTAACCGACTTTGACTTACGCTGTCTGTTGCTTGATACAGGCTCTTCAGGTGGTTGTACTCGAGCTCCGCAGAGTTGCCGTAACCTCGGTAAGTCCTTATGTTCTGCTGTTGAGTCGGGGTGATGTTCCTCAGTAGGATCGTATACGCCATCATTGACTGATAGGTGTACTGCTTCTTCTCGTACTGTGTGCCGTTTGTTGGGTATGGCAGAGACCCGTCGAAGAACCCGAGTATCTGCGCGCCTTCCATCATCAGCTCGAACTTGAACGACCAGGTGAAGAAGTCCTTTCCATCGAAGGGTCTTGACGTCTGCATCTTCAGAACGTGAGCGAACTGCGACTGAACTTGCAATGCGTCCAGTGGTTTTTCTTGTCCAGGTGAGGGCTGTGGGTGTGGCATGAAGCTGATGGACCCGCGCTCGTACGGAGCAAAGGTAGGCTGCTGTTGTTGATTTCCTCGTGCATATGATGAGCCGTCGAGACTCATGGGTGTTGCTCCGTTGTTGTTGCTGTTGTGTGACTGCGCAGGTGCTGATTGCTGGTGTTGCTCGTAGAAGGACATGAAGGAGAAAAGCTTCTCCATCATGCTCTGGTCGAAGTCTGCAGGTTGATTCGCGGGAGTCTCGGTAGATGTTCCTCTGGGTCTTGCTACCGTGCCCTCCTCTGTCTGTAGGCCAGAGGCAGGAGGTGGAGTAGGAGTAGTTCCCTGGGAGCCGTTGGAGTTGCTCCTTTCTTTTTGTGTAGCCATGCTGATTGATACTGTTGGTATAGAAGTTGAATTCCCCCTGATAGCTCTCATACCATGTAGGGCTGAAAAAGGCCCTTAGGATCTTTGCAGGGGTGAACTCTGAAGACGCCTTCGTGACAGTCATCATCGGCGGCCTCAATCTTCAATGGCGCGCCACAAAGGCTATCCTCCGAGCTCACGGAAGAATCTCCGAAGCAGCGCTCTGCGCCGAAATCCACGCCGAGCAACAAGACATGGACCTGCAAGAAGAACGACACAAAAAGAAGACATCAGCACCGGAATTCGCGTTCCACACTCAGCGACGCTACAACAACAACAACAACCGGCAGCAACAACCGAAGCCAGTACCTCCGTTCTGCCACATCTGCAAAACTTCAGGACACCCGCGTACACACTGCCCGAATCGTCAACAGTCAACAACCCCACAGCGGCAACTTCGACCTTCAAGCAGCCAAGTCGCCTCAACGCAAGTAAATCCCACGACTCAGATTCAAGCTTCAACGACCTCAACAGGACAACCTGCACAAAGAGCAAGTAACATCGTCAGCTGCATGGCAAAGCTGACAGACTCCTGCATCACCGAGTCACCACCACACTACTCACCGGAAGAACAACTCGACGAAACCACACCCCGCCGCGAGTCACTTCAGCCGAACCCGACATACGCCGCCATCGCCCAAAGCGAACCATCCGGAAGGGACACATGGTTCTTGGACAGTTGCTGCGGACAGCACATGTGCTCCTTGGGACGCTTCGCTCAACGAGAACACCAACTTCAACGCGAAGTTGTCATTACAGTCACCAACAATCAGAACCTGCGAACACGACGACAAGGCGTAGTTCAACTTCAGTCAAGGGAAACAAACGTTATACTGCAAATGTCAAAAGTACTAATCGCGGAGGGACTCGGCTACAACTTACTGAGCGTCAGTCAGCTAATGGCGAAGGGGATTCACCTCAAAGCAGACAGCACCACCCAAGAATTCAAGCTGTATCACGGGAGAGGAGGACTTTACATCGGCAAGGCGCTCCTCAAGAACAACGTCTTCGTTCTTGATTTCGTTCCTGACCTTGGCACCGCCGACAGCGACGCCATCGTCAACTTCACCAACTGGACACCTTGTCAGAACATTATAGCTTATGCTTTTGTGTAGGCTTTAGTGGGGTAGCCCATATGGGGTACAACCCAATTAGGGTTAGTACTTGTACCCAACTGTTTCATAGTTCATTCATTCTCGTTTCAATTCTCTCATGGTATCGAGCAGGTTCCATCGTGGGAACTGTTACTAGGGCCCACCAATTCGACATTTTTTTTTCCTGCCCGGAGCGCGCTCAGCCCTAGCCCGAGTCGCGCTCCCCCTTTCCTCGCCCCGTCGCGCCGCCCTAGCGGCCCCGTTGCCTGCCTTGCGGCCCTCGCGCCGCCCTTCCTGGACACGACCCTCCGCCCTGCGACCTCGTCCCCTACCCCGCAGCCATCGCGCCGCCCTTTCCCGGCCCCGATCCGCCGCCCTGCGGCCTCGTCGCCTACCCAGCGGCCCTTGCGCCGCCCTGCGGCCCTGACGCCGCCCTTACCTGCGGCCCCGCCACTTACCAGCGGCCCCGCCACCTACCTGCGGCCCCGGCACCTACCTGCTGGCCCCGCCACCTACCTGGGGCCCCGCCACCTACCTGCGGCCCCGCCACCTTCCTGCGGCCCCGCCACCTACCCGCGGCCCCGCCACCTACCTGTGCGGCCCCAGCGCCTACCTGCGGCCCCGCCACCTACCTGCGGCCCCGCCACCTACCTGCGGCCCCGCCACCTACCAGCGGCACCGCCACCTTACCTGCGGCCCCGCCACCTACCTTTGCGGCCCCGCCGCCTCCTCCCAGCGGCCCCGCCGCCTCCTCTCAGCGGCCCCGCCGCCTCCTCTCAGCGGCCCCGCCGCCTCCTCTCAGCGGCCCCGCCGGACCGCCCAGCAGCCGAGCCGCCCAGCAGCCGAGCCGCCCAGCAGCCGAGCCGCCCAGCCGCCGAGCCGCCCAGCAGCCGAGCCGCCCAGCAGCCGAGCAGCCGAGCCGCCGAGCCGCCCAGCAACCGAGCCGCCGAGCCGCCCAGCAGCCGAGCCGCCGAGCCGCCCAGCAGCCGAGCCGCCGAGCCGCCCAGCTGCCGAGCCACCGAGTCGCCCTGCAGCCGAGCCGCCCGAGCCACCCTGTCCGGTAAGAGCAGCGCCTCTTTCACAGCACTGCCCTCACCCTACTGTTTGCGCTGCTAGTCTACTGCTGTCATGGCTACCCCTAGTGTCCTCGCTTTTGACGCTGAGGGTCGGGCCATTGACTTTGACGTCTGGATAGATGACCTGCAGCTTTTCTTACAGTGCGATAGGGCAGACGGTCTCTCTCTCTTTGACCTCACCTCTGGTGCCTCTCCTGCCCCTGCTGCTGATGCTGACGCCACTGTTCGCTCATAGTGGGCCACGCGCGATGCTGCTGCACGTCTTGCTGTGCGTCGCCACCTGCCTACCTCTGAGCGTGCGCACTTTAGCCAGTACAAGAGTGCTCAGACCTTGTACGCCGCTGTAGTTGCACGCTACTCCTCCCCTGCCACTGCTGCACTGAGCCGCCTCATGCTACCGTACCTCTTTCCTGACCTTGCTGCCTTTCCCACAGTCGCTGACCTCATTACGCACCTCCGCACTAGTGACACTCGCTACCGCGCTGCGCTTCCTGCTGAGTTCTGCGCCAAGAACCCCCCCCCCATGTACATCACTCTCTACTACATAGTCACCCGCCTCCCTGACTCCCTTCGCGTAGTCAGGGACCACTTCCTCTCAGTCTGTCCCACCACTCTCACTGTTGACCTCCTCGAGAAGGCCCTCTTAGCAGCGGAGAAGAGCATAGTTGCTGTAGGAGCCTCTCGTGGTGACCCGCGCACCCCCATCTTTGCGGGGTGTTCCCCCTCCCCCCTTTTGCCCTCTTTTGCCTCTTCTGCTGCGGCCGACCTCGTTGGGCTTGAGTCGGTCGGTGCGGCGTCTACCCCTAGCGGGAGACGCCGCCCTGGCAAGGGTAAGGGGGGCAGGGGCGCTGGAGGAGCTAGCGGGGCCGGTGGAGGCGGCGGTGGAGGCGGCGGAGGGGGTGGGGGTGGCGGTGGGGGTGGTGGCGGGGGTGGAGGTGTCGGTGGCAGCAGTGGAGGCGGAGGCGGCGGCGGTGGCGGTGGGAGCGGAGGTGGCGGGGGTGGCGGCGGTGGAGGAGGCGGTGGTGGAGGAGGTGGAGCTGGTCGGGGTGGCGCTGCGCAGAGGGTCGGCTCCGGTGGTGGTCAGCGCCAGCAGCAGCAGCAGCGCACTCGTGACATCCCCCCCCCTCAGCAGCTCCGTGAGTGGTACGCTGCACGCCAGCGGGGTGGGGGTACTGGTCCGTGCACCTATGCCCTCCGCACCGGCGACCGCACGGGTGAGCAGTGTGGGGGTGCGCACCCCACCCAGCGCTGCTTTGGCCGCCTGACGGACGCTTGGCGTCACCAGTTTCCGGAGGCCACGGAGATCCCCCGCTGGGGTGAGCTGTCTAGGGCGGGCGTAGCTATCTTTGATCTTGACTTTGATGCTATTCTTGCTGCCATGTATGCTGTGACTATTAGTGATGAGGGGGACTATTACCGGTGTTTCCTGCCCGACCCGGGCATTGAGACTACTGCTCTAGGTACTGGTGAGGCTGCTGCTCTAGGTGCTAGCGAGGCTGCTGCTCTAGGTGCTAGTGCGTATGCTTCTTCAGGTACTGGTGAGTCCGCACTCTCAGGTACCGAGTCGGCTTCGGCCTCCTTCACCTTCACCCTTGACTCGGGGGCGTCTCGCTCCTTCTTTCAAGACCACACCACACTCACGCCGCTTGGTCGGCCAGTTGCGGTCTCTTTGGCAGACCCCTCTAGGGGTCCTGTCCTTGCTCACTTCTCCACTGACCTCCCGTGTCCGGCGGCTCCCTCTGGCACCCTGTCTGGTCTTTACCTCCCCTCGTTCTCTACGAACTTGGTGAGTGGCGCTGACCTTCAGGATGGGGGAGATCACGAGTTCACTCTTGCGAGCCAGCGAGTGACCCACTGCACGGACGCTCGAACGGGCTGACACTTGGCCACGTTTACTCGTCGGCCGGGGTCGAGCCTGTACACACTGTCCACTACGTCTCCTTCTGTCCCTGCGTCTGGTCAGGTAGCTGCGTCGGGTCAGGTGTTTGCTGCAGCGTCCAGGTCTGGTCCTGAGTCTGCCCCCTGCTCGTGTCGCCTCCTGTCTCACGAGACTCTCCTTTGGCATCGCCGCCTTGGTCACCCCTCCCTGCTTCGTCTCCGAGGCATGGCCTCCCGTGTCCTTGTCTGTGGTCTTCCCCGGTCCCTCCCTCCCCTTCCTCTGGGGCCTGGCCCTACCTGCGTCCCCAATGTCGAGGGGCGGCAGCGGGCTGCCCCTCACACCTCCCAGTTTCCTCCGACGGAGGCCCCGCTGCAGACGCTTCACATGGACGTGTGGGGCCCGGCCCGCGTTCGTGGGCAGGGTCACGAGCGCTACTTCCTGTTGGTGGTTGACGACTACTCGCGTTACACCACAGTCTTCCCCTTGCGCAGCAAGGGTGATGTCACTGAGGTGTTGATCGACTGGATCCGCGCAGCTCGTCTCTAGCTCAGGCAGAGCTTCAGCTCGGACTTTCCTGTTCTGCGTCTGCACTCTGACAGAGGCGGAGAGTTCTCCTCTGGCCTTCTGCGAGCCTACTGACGTGCACAAGGCATCCGCCAGACCTTCACGCTTCCGGACTCTCCACAGCAAAATGGGATTGCTGAGCGCCGCATTGGCATAGCCATGGACGTCGCTCGTACGTCCATGATGCATGCGGCTGCCCCCCATTTTCTGTGGCCGTTTGCGGTTCCGTACGCAGCGCATCAGATCAACCTTCACCCCAGGGTCTCCTGGCCGGAGACCTCCCTAGCCTTCCTGTGGACGGGGAAGGTTGGCGATGCGTCTGCGTTCCGTGTCTGGGGATCTCGGGCGTTTGTCCGCGACTTGTCTGCGGACAAGCTGTCCCCTCGTGCTGCTCCCTCCGTCTTCCTGGGTTCCCCCCCTGACGCACCAGGGTGGCAGTTCTACCACCCCACCTCTCGCCGTGTTCTGTCCTCCTAGGACGTCATGTTTGACGAGTCGGTCCCCTACTACCGCCTCTTCCCCTACCGCACTCCGTCCCTCCCCCCGCCGCCACTCTTCCTTGTACCAGGTCCCCCTCCGGTAGACCCCCTCCCCCCTCAGGGTCCGTCCCCTTCAGGTGTGTCCCAGGTAGACGCAGTCGAGCCTGTCGAGGTCACTGGTGACTCTGGTGCTGCTGAGGGTGCTGAGCCTGGGGGTGCTGACTCTGGGGGTGCTATGCGTGTGCGTGCTACACCTGGGGGTACTGAGACTGGGGGTGCTGAGCCTGGGGGTACTAAGAATGGGGGTGCTGAGACTGGGGGTGCTGGGCCTTGGGGTGCTGAGCCTGGGGGTGCTTCGACTGGAGGTACTGAGCCTGAGGGAGCTGGGCCTGCTTGTGAGGCGTCCGGCGGTGCTGGGCCTGGAGGCTCTCCGGGTGCTTCGTCTCGGCGGGAGCCTCTCTCTCCACAGGAGCTGCGCGAGTGGTTTGGCCGACGCTGGAGACGTACTGCTGGAGTTGGGATTTCTTCGGCTGCTGAGGGTGCTAGTGCTGCCGGTCCCGGAGGTGCTCGTACGGGAGGTACAGGAGCTTCTGGGCCGGAGGGTGTGTCTGGAGCTGGAGCTGCGGCGGGTGTTGGCGCTGAGGCTACTGCTGTCGGTCCTGGTGGCGGTGCTGCTGGAGTTACTGGAGCTTGAGGTGCTGCTGGCGCTGGTGCTACCGCTGGGGGTGCTGGTGCTGGTGACTGGAGTCGCCGCGCGGCCTCGGTCGTACTTCGTTTCGCTCCTTCAGCAGGTTCTTGGTCTCCCGCCTTCGACTGGTCCTCCTCCTCCCTTAGAGTGTCCACAGCCTGTCCCGTCACAAATACGGTTACAGCCGGCCTCCCCGCTGCTTGCTCCTTCTCCCTACACTGGTCCTACTGGAGGTCTTGCTGAGCGTCGTGAGCCTGCGTCTTGCCCTACGTCGACTGTCCGTCCTGCTCGGGCTAGTGGTCGTAGTTCCCGTGAGCGTCCTCCTCCTGTCCCTGGCACGCACCGGATGTCTCTGCGTCCATCCACTGCTCCTCTGCGTGCCCTGTTGCCTTCTCCTCCTGAGTCCTCTCTTCCTGCTCTTGCCGACCCTGAGTCGGACTCTCTTCGTGCTGCCAGTCCTACTGTCACGCGTCTCCTTGCTACTGTTGTCACTGACCCCTCTTTTGAGTCCACTGCTGCGTCTGCCCTAGTTGTTGAGCTCGTCGACTTTGCTGCTCGCTGTCGTCTAGACTACGCTGCTAGTCTTGTCGTTGAGTCTGAGTCTGTCTGACCTCCGTCCGTCGGGGGTGAGTGTGCCCTTGGCACGGACGTTCTTGAGGACAGGCAGGAGGATTTCCAGTGTCTCGCTGCTGCTTCACCTCATCTCGTGTCCGTACTGCTTACCCCTGAGGGAGACCCGGATGCACTTGACATCCGGACTCCGCACTCTTACGCGGAGGCGATAGAGGGTCCCTACTCCTCTCAGTGGCTTCCTGGACGCAGAGATGGCTTCCTGGAAGTCCACAGGCACCTACGTTGACGAGGTTCCCCCACCTGGGGCAAACATCGTCAGTGGCATGTGGATTTTCAGGGCGAAGCGGCCGCCGGGTTCCCCGCCTGTCTTCAAGGCGCGGTACGTGGCTCGTGGCTTCAGTCAGCGGCAAGGAGTTGACTACTTTCAGACCTTCTCTCCCACCCCGAAGATGACCACTCTTCGGGTGCTGCTGCACATGGCCGCTCAGCACGACTACGAGCTTCACTCTCTTGACTTCAGCACTGCTTTCTTGCAGGGTAGCCTGCACGAGGAGATCTGGCTGCGCCGCCCACCTGGCTTCACTGGGTCTTTTCCTCCTGGCACCCAGTGGAGCCTCCGGCGGCGAGTCTACGGTCTCCGCCAGGCACCGCGTGAGTGGCATGACACACTGAGGACTACGCTTGCGGCTCTTGGGTTTGCTCCCCCTACTGCTGACCCGTCGCTGTTTCTGCGCACCGACACTTCTTTGCCGCCGTTCTATATCCTCGTGTACGTCGACGACTTGGTCTTTGCCACAGCTGACACTGCTGGACTCGCCCACATGAAGTCGGAGCTGCAGAAGAGACACATGTGCACAGACCTGGGTGAACTGCGCAGCTACCTTGGCTTGCAGATCACCCGAGACAGAGCACAGCGCACCATTACCCTGACTCAGTCACACATGGTGCAGCAGGTCCTTCAGCGCTTCGGCTTCACGTACTCCTCGCCTCAGGCCACTCCTCTGCCTACTCGTCACTCGCTCTCAGCTCTGCCTTCGGATGAGTCCGTAGAGTCGAGTGGCCCGTACCCAGAGCTTGTTGGCTGCCTCATGTACCTGATGACCTGCACTCGACCTGACCTTGCATACCCTCTTAGCATTCTCGCACGCTATGTTGCTCCTGGGAGAGACAGACCAGAGCACATGGCTGCAGCGAAGAGGGTGTTGCGCTACTTGTGCAGTACATCGGGCATGGGGCTTGTGCTTGGAGGGCGGAGTCCAGTGTTCCTCACTGGGCACGCAGACGCTTCTTGGGCAGACGACCAGGCTACGCAGCGGTCGTCACAGGGTTACACCTTCAGCCTTGGTTCCGGCTCTGTTTCGTGGCGGGCTACCCGCTCGTCTTCTGTTCTCGGCTCCAGTTGTGAGGCTGAGATCTACGCCGGGGCCATGGCTGCACAGGAGCTTCGCTGGCTCACCTACCTGCGGACGGACTTTGGAGAGGTGTCTCGTTCTCCTCCAGTGCTGTACGTAGACAACAAGGCCATGCTGGCCTTGTGTCGAGAGCAGAGACTGGAGCACAGAACGAAGCACATTGCTCTTCGCTACTTCCTTGCTCGTGAGCTGCAGCAGCGTGGTCAGCTGCGTCTTGCGTACGTGGCCTCAGAGGCCAACACTGCTGATATCTTCACCAAGGCACTTGCGCCTTGTGATCATCAGCGCTTCTGTACTCAGCTTGGTCTTGTGCCTATCTTGCCTCACTTGCTCACCTCTTGACATTGCTTGTACTGTTACATATATATACACCTGCTCTTGCTTGTCTAGCTTTCTTTATATATATGTATTCCTGCATGTGATCTGGCCTTGTGGCCTTGAACTTGTGCTCGGAATGTGTGGTGACTTTGTGATCCACCCTGAGCTTGCTTTGCTTTGCTTTGCTTGACTGGTCTTATGACCGGTTGTTCTCCCCCAATTTGCCTATGGGGGTGTGTCAGAACATTATAGCTTATGCTTTTGTGTAGGCTGTAGTGGGTAGCCCATATGGGGTACAACCTAATTAGGGTTAGTACTTGTACCCAACTGTTTCATAGTTCATTCATTCTCGTTTCAATTCTCACAAAGTTGTCATTACAGTCGCCAACAATCAAAACCTGCGAACACGACGACAAGGCGTAGTTCAACTTCAGTCAAGGGAAACGAACATTATACTGCAAATGTCAAAAGTACTAATCGCGGAGGGACTCGGCTACAACTTACTGAGCGTCAGTCGGCTATTGGCGAACGGGATTCACCTCGAAGCAGACAGCACCACCCAAGAATTCAAGCTGTATCACAGGAGAGGAGGAATTTACATGGGCAAGGCGGTCCTCAAGAACGTCTTCGTTCTTGATTTCTTTCCTCACCTTGGCACCGCCGACAGCAACGCCATCGTCAACTTCACCCACTGGACACACCCTCTAGATCTTGATCCAGACTTCAGTCCAGAAGGCTTCTGGTATTCACACACCATCCCCGAAGCAGAAAGAACAAGGGCGTTAGCAACAATTCAGACAACATCGGCAGCAGCAGAGACAACATCGGCAGCAGCAGAGACAACATCGGCAGCAGCAGAGACATCTTCGGCAGCAGTAGAGACAACATCGGCAGCTGCAGAGACAACATCGACAGTAGCAGAACCATCAACGGCAGCAGCAGGAACGTCGACACCAATTGCTGGTCCTTCAACGACACCGCTCCTCATCGACGACACACCACCAACACCCGCGCAACAACTACACCCAGCACCACGAGAAGTTCATCGTAGCGC